CAGTTGTGGCTAGAGAAACACTATCGGCGATTCAAGGCGCGGGTTCGCGGCTTATCGGCAGTCGAAACACACGATCCTCATCACAGGCGCACACGGGCACGCGGAAGTGGCTAGGCAGCTCAAGAATGCCGCAAGTCGAGCCTACCATGCACGCAGGAGACAAGAACGGTTGACGGCAGAAGTGCGCGCACTAGAGCGTAGTGCGCGCAGAACGAGCGAGAACGGGCTGCACACGGATATGCGGTCGGTGCGCACGGATGGCGTGCATGGCGAAAGTGGGCAGAACGCGCAGGCCGCAATGCTGGCTAGCGCGATCGCAGAAGGTCCGCGCGGCGAGGAAGCACGCGCATCCTCATGCCTCGAGGTGTGCGGAATGGTGGGGAGGCACGCGCGCGAGGAGGCAGCCGGGGGCGGAAGCGCGCGCAATACGCTGGATGGGGGAGCACGCGCGATTCGCGAGACCGTACTCCTAGAAAAATGCAGAGTGGCGGAGCAGCACGCGCACGGTAAGGCGGCCAGCGGTATTGGCGTGCGAGACACGCCGGGTGGGCGCGCACGCGCGGAGGAGGAAGGCGGTGCCCTAGTCCTCGAGGACTAGGGCGTGCGAGGCGGTGCGCGCGAGGGGCCGAAGGCTTGAGGCGGTTGGAAGACTTGGTGTGCTAGCCAAGATATTTAGTTCCCTTATTCCATTATAATTTCTAGCTTATTTAGGATTCATAATATTTTATTGCTTTATTAGTTCCCTAGGTAGATTAGGCTTAGATATAATTTTTGTGCCTATATAAAGGCCCCATCCCTATGTTATTTTCAATAATTCAAGAAATCAATAGAAATCTAGAACTTGGTTCTTCCAACTTTGCTTTAGTCTTTTCACCAAAATACTACTGCAATTTTATTCGTTTCAATAGGCGCGGTTGTGGCTAGAGAAACACTATCGGCGATTCAAGGCGCGGGTTAGCGGCTTATCGGCAGTCGAAACACACGATCCTCATCATTGGTGCTTTCATTGAGAGGTGTTGATCGTGTGTTTTTCTTCTACCCCATTCTCTTTCTTTTTCTTTAGGTTTTTCGTCCCCCTTATCAAAAAAACAAAAAAAGAAATATATATATATGTAACGCCCCGTTCGATTTGTAGAAATTCTCGGAATATTCTATTTATCGAATATTATTTAAAAGGTTATATTTATTTTATTAGTCGCGATCGGGGTACTTGATCGTTTT